GGGCACAGCCCACCCTTGCCACCGCACCAGGCTTCAGGTTTGCGTGCCCGAGGTGCAGGAGAACGCGATGTCACCCGCAAAAGCACCCTGTCCTTGCTCGGGTGTGGGGAAGAGGGTGACTGGGCACAGCAGGCACACGGATCTTTGCAAGGGCTGTGTGCCAGCAGTGGTGACGTGCACAGTGCCAGGCAATACCGGTGATTGCACTTCAGCTGTGGAAATTTCATCCCCTTCCCTTCTCCCCCCCCCGTTGTGGTTTCCCGGTGAACGCCGGGTACAGGGTATCCCACTGCCTCTCGGGCTGGTCCCGCTGCCGGTCACATCCTCCTGCACCAAAGCACCTCTTTCCTGGGAAATGTCCATCCCTGACTCTCTGCAAGAGCCGGAGGAGGGAAGAATGAGGTGAAGTTTGTCCCTCCAGGACAAGGGGAAAGGTGCCAACAAGACTCTGCAATGAGCATCTGTGGGGCAGAACCAGAGCAGGCACAGGTTGTTCCTCCAACCTTCCCTTCCGTGCCGCAGACACAGGGATGAGAGGACCTTACAGCACAATATGGGTGCAGATAGATGCAGGCTGAATGTCTTGGAGATGCTCTTGGCAGGCTGTACCACTGCCTGCAGTGCCCTGAGGCTGTTTCTTTCCCTGCCTCACCCAGGTTAACCTGTCTCCTTCTTTGCCCTAAGCTGGTTGCTGCAGCCTGGGACAGGGATGGGTCCAGCCTGGGGAAGCACTTCCTGACACACTGTTGTGGTCCCCTCACAGCTGTCCTGGTCTGTGCCCTGAGCTGTGTGAGTGCCACTGGGCTGTCCTGCCTGTGGGTCAGGGGTGCTTTGGTGCATCACAGCTCTGGCTCTGCCTCTCCTGGGGATCCTGGCAGCAGCTCTGCTTATCTGGAGGCAGCCTCAGAGCCAGGATAAAGCATCCTTCATGGTGAGCACCCAGCCCAGTCCTTGGCACATCCCCAGGGAGAAGAATCTGGGCCACCAAGAGGAGGCAAGTGCTGCAGTCTCATGGGGAAAGGGTGATGTGGCTCCTTTCACTTTAGGTCACGCAAACCTTTGCAGCATCCACCTTAATAAAGCACTGCTGGAGGCAGCATGCAACTCATGGGTTTTTCCATGGGAACCATGAGGACTACCTGGTTCTTCCCCATCATGACCTGCAGGCCGAAGGGGCACCTCCTTGCAGCCCCAGCTGAGATCAGTGTCTGCTGCAGGAATCAGAGCTGATCTTCAGTAAAAGATACCTGGCCTTGACACGCTGGATTGGTTTTGTTAGTGGTTTGCTGCCTCCTCCCTCAAATGCTGCAGCACCTTCTGGCCCAGTGCAGGGACCTGTCAACCAAACCACCCTCCACAAACGTCCCTCTCCAGCATAGTCTGCAGTCCCAGCTTGGATCTCTGAGCCTCACAGCCAGGCTGGGCTTCCTTCCACCTGTTAACCACTAACCAAAGCTGTCAGCCACTAACCAAAGCAGCAAAGATCTGAGTTTAGATGTGAAACCAGTGCCTGTGGGACAGCCAGTGCCTCTGGGCAAAGTCAATTCCCCATTGCCTTGTGCTTGGTCCCTGCACGTTCCTTGCCTGCCCTTCCTGCCTCTCCTCATCATCTCCATCAACAGCATCCTGATGGCCCAACTGAGTGCAGCTGCCTGGCTGTGGTACCTGCTCTGGATGGCCATTGGTAAGCATAGCTGTCTGTGAGATCCTGGAGCTGGCACCAACCTCTTTGGGGAAGCACTGGTCGTTTGAGAGCCTGTGGCATTAATACTGCTCTGAGTGGTGGTGGGTGAGGGAGGAGATGCTGAACTTTAATGTCCTGGGGTGGTGGGAACACCATGTCCTCTGACTTGTGGCCCAAAGCAATGGGAAGGGGTGAGCACCTTGTGGTTGGGAGGGGAGGGAAGAGAGACACCCTTCACATATCCTATTTTGCCCATTCCCAGGTTTCCTTATTTACTTTGGCTATGGGATCTGGAACAGCTCTGAGAGCCACTGGCCTGAAGGGACAGCTCCCCAGGAGCCACCAGGAAGCACAGCCAGGGAGGTGGCCTGGGAGCCCTGTGGGACTGACCCGTGCCCATCTACTCTGGGACAATTAAAGTAGATGACTGGTCCCTGAGTGCCTGGTTCCCTTCATTCTGTGCCCAGTGGACAAAAAGGCCCCTTGGGCTGAGGGTCCCATGCTGCAGAGGGGGACAGCCCTGCTACAGCTGCAGAAGCTGCTTCCCCCTGAGTCTGGTGAACCTCCCTGAGCAACCTGAATCCTCACAGTGAGCCCCTGCAGAAGGAGTTCTGTTTGGAGAGGGTAAAGTGTTTTTGCTGCTGTTACTGCGGTGTGGATTTGTTTGGTTTCTTCTGCCTTTGAAGCCTCTCCCTGCAGTCCCTCACTGGCCCCCTGGCCCCTCACCCACCCTAGTCTCTCAGCTGCTCACAGTGGAGTGGAGGCTTCTCATGCTGCCCTGACCCTCTATGCTGTCTCGGCACTCAGCCTGGGCTGACCTGCCTTTTCCCCCACAACTGCCAAGGTACTGCCTAGTCTGGGCTTTTTCCTCCTTACTGTGGGCAAGTCCTTTTCTGTACTCATTTATTCCTCCTCCTCAGTTCCCAGTGCTTCCCTTTCTCAGAGCTGGGCACATTCCTCCAGGTCCCACGCAGGATCTGCCTTTGAGGCAGTGGGAGATTGTACCAGGTGTCCAGAGCAGGATGCCAGACCCCACCAGCCTCATCTCCTTTTCCAAGAGATTCTGCCACCTCCAGCCACAGCCAGACAGGATTTGCTGGGGTATCCCCTGCTTTGGTGCAACAGCATCTGGCACATTCCTCCCATATCCCTGAAGTTGCTGGGCAAAGCTGGAAGCTATCCCACCACCCATCCCCAGAGCCAGGGGGATGCACAGATGATGCATGGAGCAGTGGGTGCCCTGGAGGGACATGTTTCTGACACAACAGGCACCCTCATTTCCCACTCTGGGCACCCTGTGCAGGTGTGTGGGTAGGAGCTGGATCTCACATCCGTGTTGCCTTCCTGGCTGCCTCGTTCAGCTGCTCTTGTCCTCATAAAGGTCAGCACAAAGGACGGAAGCGGCTGTTGGAGTGGACCAGGAGGGTCAGGGACTGCCTTGTGCTGGGAGCCCATAGAAATGAATGAAAAGAGGGAAGGGTCAGGAAAAGGGGGTTTGGTTGTAGGGACCTCCTCTGGGGCTCCCTTGTGTCGCCGTGGTGCCTGCTCCCACCCCTCCCCGTGTTCCCACCATACTGGGTGCAGGGTACACAGCCCCACTCTGGGATAATCCTGCACCAGTCCCCAAAAACAGACATGGGATTCTTGAGGCTGCTGCTTCTTACAGACTTGTAATTGTTACAGCCAGTAGCATGTTGACCTGGTGCACTTACACACACACACACATACACACACTCCCCTGGCTAAACAGCCCTGGGGAGGGGACGGGCCAGTGACAGCCCTGGAGCAGTGACCGTCCCACCACACTCATGCACCCAGTGGAAAGTGCTTGTGTGCATCCAGCCCTGACCCACAGCCATGCTGGTGGCATCTTCCCCAGTGGGGATGCAATGGCTCAGAGCAGGGAGGGATGTGACCTGCTGAAGCCTGCTACCCCCTTGGGAGGATGCTGTGCTCCCTGAATGTGCACCTTTGGCATGCAGCCTCTGCCCAGCTTTCAGGGAGAAGATGGGGCTGGTGGTGCTGCTGATGGGCAATGGGGACAAGGAGGGCTTGAGGTCTTTGTGGCAGTGAGTAGGGATGTGCCTGGGCTTCCTGGGAGCCGTTTGCTTAAGGTGGAGGAGGTGATGATGGGAGAAGGGCACAGGTGGGAGCCCTGACTGGTGAGGTACCTTAACACCATGTTCCCAGTGTCCTCCTCATCCTCTTGGTACATATCTCCATCCTGTCCTAGTGACTGCCTCATCGTTCTTGCCCCACACCCTGGGCAGCACTGATGCCGGTTATGCTCAGAGCCAAGCGCTGGGTCAAATCCAGCCCAATGCAAGCCTGCATGTCCTGGATGATCCCTTCTACCCACAGCCAGCCACTCACAGCCTCCCACCAGAGGAAGGGCTGCAGGAATGGCACGGGCGGGTGGCCAGGGTCCCTCTGCAGCCCCACATGGGCTGGGGAAAGGCAGGCGCAAGTGTCCTGTGAAATGCTCCATCATCCGGGTCGGACAGGGTGCCCCGAGGGCTCAGCCAGCCTGGAGTCCTGCCCCGACTCGGGGGGCACTTGTGAGAGCAGCCCTGGGCTCGCATGCCCAGGGGAAAGCCCTGGCAGCCCCCTCGGTGGTGTGCTACGTGGCGATGAGGGGCACCTCGCTGGCAGCCATGGAGAAGGGGCTGCCATCCCCTCCGTTGAGCACACGGTACAGCAGCTCCTCCTTCTCACGGCAAGCTTGATCCCGCAGCTGTGCCTCCTTGTCCAGTGCCCCGCGGGCAGCCTGCAGCTCCTCCGACAGCTGCCTGTGGGCAGATGGCACACACTGCTGGAGCTGCTAGGCAAAGTGCCCATGAGCCCCTCTGCTCCCCACAAAGCACCCAGTGGTACCACAGGGCAGTGTGTTCTCCCCACTGCCACCTGTCCCCCCACTGGAGATGCCACTTGTACAGTGGGGAGTCAGTGTGTGTATGGGACCAGCACTTACCTTGCCATGACCAAGTGGTTCTGGGTGCGAACTTGCAGGTCCTCGTTCTCCTGCTGGAGAGTCTTAACCTTCTCCTCCAGCAGAAGGTTCTTCTCCGCCTGGAAGAGGGGTATAGGAGTGAGGAGGGAACCAGGAATCACCTCCAAACCCACCACCACTCCATCTTGGAGGGAATGCTGGCTTGGTGGCATTGCACATATGTCCCCTCCCCACTCCAAGAGAGGAATCAGGCTTCATCCACTTTCACTCCAGGTACAATTTCTGGACAGGATTTAGGTGGGGAGAAGAGATGAAAAGAGGAAAGCCCACCTGTGGCCCACCCTTTCAACCCACCACAGTCTCCAGGTGCAGCAGCTTCTTGTCCAGGCCATGTATGTGCTCATTCTTCATCTCGATGACAAAGTGCAGGCTCTCCAGCTCCTGCTCCCAGAAAGGGCCGGGACTTCCATGCTCCTGCAGGGCCATCACTTGTGTTCAAGGGACACCACAGCCTGTGCACCTCCCTGGCACAGGTTTTGCTTCCCCCTTCAGCTGTCCTGTGCTCCCCTCTGGTTCCAGCCCCCCACTTCTACCAGGCTCCATCAGAGAAGCCCCCTGGCTTTGGGTCAGCACCCTGGAGCAGGTCCCCTCCCTGACATCCCTCCCTGCACCTGGATGTGCTTCTTGTAGTCAGTGCTCAAGAGTGACTCCTTCACCCGTTTCATCCTCTCATGGAAGGTTTTCAGCTGGGAATTCAGTGCTTCGATTGTCTCCTAGGGCAGCCAGGGAAAAAGCAGGATGAGAGTTATCTGGGATTTGTTCCTGAGCCAGGGCACACCAGGGACCATGGTGGCCACCAGGGAGCATGGGGCACCATGGCAGAACCAGCAGAACTCAAGCTCTCCATGTGCAACCCCTTCCCAGGGATTTCTCCATGAGTACCTGTAAGGCTGCCTGGGACCTGTGGTGAGACTCTACCAGTAGCAGCTTCTCCTGCTCGTGTGCTCTCTGGAGCTCTGCAGTGGAGATGTGAACTGAGTGTCACCAGCGTGGGGCCACTGGGGCAACAAGCCCTACCTGAGCCCCACAGTGCAGTGGAACAGGGGAGCAGCATCCCCACAGCCCCACAGGCAGCCAGAGGGGCACTAGCAGTGGTGGTGGGAGCAGGCAGGGGGGCTATGGGAAGCCCTGCTGTCCTGGCATGCACCTTGCAGGGTCTCTGTATGCTCTCTCCTCAGGGCATCCAACTCCTCCTTCAGCTCCAGCTCTTTTCCCTTTTCCACCTAGGAAGCAGGCAGATGACAAACCTCAGTATAAGGGATGCAGAGCCACATTTCTTCAGGCTTCATAACCCTTTCCCAACCCCTTTCTTCTCCCCAGAATGGAAGAGCCCAGCCCAGCATGTGCCAGGTCCATGACTGCTGCCTGGAAAGTCCTGGCTGACCACACATTCCCTGTCCTGCCACTGCTCCCAGCAACACCTGCCATTCCGACTGACCTGGATGTTAGCACCCTGGGTGAAGCTTGCAGTGCTTGCCTGGCCAGCATCCCGTAGTTGCTCCTCCTCCTCCTGGCCTTGGAGGAATCTCGCACTGTCTGTCCACTCCTCTGGCAGTGCTGCCTTCTTATTCCCATTCTCAGGAAGCAGGGAGGCATTGGCTGCAAGGCAAATGTGGCTGAAACAGCACTGGCTGCATCCTGATAACTGGGTTGCTTGGACATCCTGGGCAGCCAACCTGCCAGTGTGGTGGCCCAGGTTCAGCCCTGTCTGCATCCCACTGGACAAATCCCTCCATGTCACCAGTCCAAAATAGCTCTAATTGGGATGGTGGTGGTGAGGACATGGCTCATTAGGTCTCCTGTACAGGGAAGACCTATCTGGCTGAGAGGATGGGATGCCTCTAGGATGCCATCCTCTCTGGGATGCCATTGTCTCTGGAATGCCATCCTCTCTGGAATGCCATGCCTGCCCTCCTGCACCTGCTGCAGCCATCATTCCCATCCTCCCTGGCCCCACGCCAGCTGCTGCCCTGGGATCTGTCCATTGCTTCCTTAATATCACACCGAGAAAACACAGTGAGGAGGGGTGGGGTGGGGGGAATACACATTTTCTTCTCACCATTCTCTGTCTTCAAAGCTGTGAGCTCCTGGGAAGCTGGTCCTCTCTGCTGCTGAGCTTTTAGCTGTCTCTGTCAGAGAGAGAAGGAGCTGGAGCAGAAGGGGACAAAGGGGGCAGGTGGCTGCAGGCAGAGGACACCCTGCACTGAGCACACTTCAGCCCTGCTAAAAACACAGGTGCTTGAGCAGCATTGGTCCCTCCCTGGCCCCCTGCCCTCTCCCAGACCTGAGCACCCATGGGTGTGCATGTGCTGCCCATCAGGCAGCCCCAAGCTCATGCTGCTTCCCTACATCCAGACACTTCACTGTGTAGCATTCAGCTGGAAAACCTGGGGGATGGTCACGAACACCTAGTGCTGGTGCAAAACAGGCTCCAGCAGCAAAACATTTAGTGTGGGAGAGCAGGCAGCACTTGGCAGGGCTCCAGCTGTGGCACTCCCTTGCCACCCCCC